CGCTGTGTGCCCTCTTGCCCTTGTGCCCTCTGATCCCTTTGTGCGCTCTCAATTGAATTAAATACAATTGTCGTGTTATGGAATTTTGAAGTGGGCGCGTCACCTTTGATGTTCGGCGTGTCCTCTCGACATTCTTTCATAATTTTTGTCACTTTATGTTGCTGCTGCCGCTGCCAATCGGCCAGCACAATGGGCCAACTGCTATTGTTTTGCAATTGAAACACCTTTTACCTTATTAAGCGGAAAAACTGCACACAATAACCTATACGCCCCGACTGATCCGCATTGTTAACTGTGCATAATTTATATGGGCCACGGCGACGCACTGGCGGCCCAATCGCTACACCAACGTGGCCCAATCTCTGGCCGAGAGTGTGAAAATTCCATGCCAGCCAAAAACCGTAATCGTATCAGCCATTGCTAGTTTTAAGTTGGCCCAAATCTCGAGAGAAAACAACTGAATAGGCCTTAATTAAGGCCATTTTGAGAATTTCGAAGGTAAATTTCATCTTGAACCTATTCATGGATTGCTTCATAGGCAGCATACGAGCTCATCTAGGTATATAAGCTAACTTCTCTGTACTTCTTTCTACTTTAAACGTATTTATCTTGAAAACTTAAGAGCACCTGCCACAAATTGTATAATTTTATATATCATTTACCTTATGCAGATCAGAAATTAATTTCTCACTTCAGTTCTTCAAAATCTTTGGCATTGAACATTTATAAATTAATTGAAATGAAACGCGAGGTGCAAATTGGGGTGTTCAACATTAAACATTAAAACTGAGTAAATACTTTTTGAAAAAGACAAAGCCGGGAAATACCTAATATAATATAATATCTAATATATATGTGAGGCATAATAATAATAATAATTATAATAGTAATACTAAATTAATAAATATAATAAAAATAAAAATAATATATATATTATATTATTAATATATCAAATAATATTTTTATTAACTATTAATTAAGTTCAATTTTTGTTAAATTTCTTCTTGAAATTATAAATTAAAGACATATACAAGTGTATTTATTTATTCGACGAAGGTAATCTCTATCCCTAATGCAGTTTTGTTCTGAACACCTTGTTTTGTTGCCTTAGTTAACTTTTAGATGAAGTGTCAGCAAAATGCGCTCACTCTCTTTAAGCTCAATCTATATATGCTTGTATATATATAAATGTACACGATATGCACACAGATACAAATGTATTTGAATGCTGAATCTTTGATTTGATTGCTTCACAGCTGCGAAGAGGGCTTTGATTCTGTGAAAGAAGAAACTGCTGAGCCGGCGCAAAGAATTGAGAGATTTCAACACCTATTCCCAGGCGTCCAAGAAGTGTCAGAAGCTGAGGCAGCGCTTTCCGGGCATTTGTCGTGAGATTGTTAAAAAAAAAAAAAAAACATAAACAAAAATCGCAAACGAAACACAAAACAACAACGTTTTGCAATTTGTTTCACTGAGGGTAAAAATTACAAAATCAAATCACAAATCTGATGAGCAGAAGGCGGCGAAGCATTAAAGGGGGCGGGTCTTGGCCTTTGGTCGCAAAGCTGAGCTGCATTTGGTGTTCATTTTTATATTCAATTTTTTGGTTTCGTTGGGCTTGGGTTAAGTTTTTGTGGTACTACTGTTGGCTTAGTCGCATTTAGGGCCCATAAATGTAACGCGATTATCTATAAATCTGCAGCGGAAAACATAACTCAAAAATAACAAAACAAGCTAACACACAGAACATAAACGAAATAAGATATTTTTAATTAATTGTCACTGAAAAAAAAAAATACACATACAACAGCAAATACACTTTTATGAGAAGCTGCACGTGACCGCCGGCAAAACAGCAACAACAAAAACAAAAAAAAACAAAACAAAACTAAAATACAAAAACCAAAAAAATATAAACTAAAAAAGAAACCAAATAAACATTTAGATTAAATCAGTTCCAGTCGCTGTCCAAGACCCAGGCGCAAGTTCATTGAGGAACACACAAGGCCAGAAAGGTTCCATAAACACACACACACACTCAGACACACACACACACACCCGAAAGGGGCCTAAAAGTACCCACCAAAAGCGGAGACAACAATTTAGACATTTCTCATAGAAAGACATAATTTTCAATTTAATAAAGGCCATCGCATAAATACGCTCGTAAAAACCTATCAAAACTTAAGATAGATGAGCGCTACGTGCACTTGCAGGAAAGTCCATTAAAAACAAAACGGCGCTACGGCTACGGAAAGGATTGTTCTCGAGTGCGGCGGCGGGCTGGCAATGCGCTTGCCCAGCGGCTGATCAACATAGGGCCTTGGCGTGGGCAAGGGCAGTGCGGATGGTGCGGGGGGTGCGGTGCGCAGAGCTGAGCGGCAATGCATTTTTTGGTGAATGGTGCGCCGACGCATAGTTGCATGTCTCTCGCCCGGGGCCGTGCGGGGCCGTGCGGGCCGTGCAGAAAGGGGATGGCAAGAGGCTGCATCGGAGCCACAATAAAATCAAAACGATAAGCATCTTTAGTGTCCCAGGGGCACTGAGATGATCGCCCCTGGCCTGGCCCGGCCTGGCCTGGCCTGGCCTGAGAGTTGGCTGCAGACGCTGCTGCTGCATATTAAATTGTTGAATCAGTCACTGAGAATTCAAGAGACAAATCGGAGCACGTACACAGCGTCCGAAATTAATGACAATTGCTGATTGTGTGAGATAAACGGACGCAGGCGCAGGGCAATTGGTGGAAACCGCGACAAACTCACACGCACACACACACACACACATGCGGACACGCACACACAATGAGATGAAAGACATTAGTAACACACAAAAGGAAGCCCTGAGCACACATCGGAGCACATCGAAACCTCAGTTTTTGACCATGGGCCATGCTCCGTGGACCCCGAGCCGGGTCCAAGTCCAGGGTGTGCGTAGATTCCTCTGCCCCGATAAGACCAAAAGAATCAGCGCGCCCAAAAAAAAAAAAAACAAAAAATAAAAATATGCCGAACCAACACCGGCACACACACACACACAACAAAAACAAAATTGTCGCTTAGCTGATGTCGTAAAAATGCTCGAGAAGGAACCCAACTGCAACAACAACAACAACTGGAATTATTATATGGCTCATAAAATATTTGTACAAGTCTATAAATGCCGCGTAATTTACTTCTGGCTGCAATTAAAAAGAATCTCCAACAATTCGAAATGAAATTGTTTTGGCATTTTATATTCGTGTATACCCTGTGTGCGCACATCGGGTATATCAGTTGGCTGTCAAAGGCAAACTGATTCAAATTCAATTGAATTAATGTCATAATTATTATTATAATTATTATCATGATGTTTATTTTTCATTTTTTATTTTCATCAAATATATACCCTTGTGGGCATCTTTGCTAGGTATACACCCGCTTGCAGCTCTTCAGCTCGTTTATGGTCCGATTTTGTTTGCCTCGCATTGCAATTGGGCGCACGCTGCGTATGCGCAATGCAGTTGCTGCCAAGAGCTGTGGGAATGGATTTCGAGGCACTGTAACTGATATGGCGCTAGATGAATAAAGTTTGTCTGGAAATTGCACAGAAATAAATTGGTGCACTTAAATGTGTACACATTTGATTTGAGCTTGTGTTCGGAACACTTTAAAATGGCTTCACAGATTGGCACAGATTGAGGAGCATTGCGCTGCCGACCTTGTCAACAGATGGCTATGAATTTCATTATTACACAATATTATATCTATAGCTATATGCATTACGATAAGGAGAGAGAGATTAAGATACATTTTGGAAAAAGGACTTTCCATAGATAACTGCTCTAGCTTCAAACGGGCTCGTCTGGGAGGTGTCAGACTCAAGTCAAGTCGATTCAGCCTTGACCTGGATTTTGTACTCCTTTTGGCAGTTGCATGTCATATTTTACTAATATGTGTATTTATTTCAAAGTATATTCAGCTGGAATGTGAAATGTATTCAATAAAACCGAGCTAAAATATCTAACAATTTACTATATATATTATTTTTAATCTAGCTGGGCTAAAAGACACGTATAAATAAATAAAGAAAAATGGGCAACTTATTTGTTTATGCCTAAAAGAGAAACTCGAAATAATGTGAGTTTGTACTTTCAATTGTTGTACAATATATTGAGTCATAAAAAAATAAAGAGTTTACAAAAATTGTATTAAAAAACATACAAGCAGCAAATGCGTACAATACTTTTAATATAAATATATTTATATTTAATAATTTATATAGCTTGCGTACATAGTAGGTATATCCGATCATAGCAACTGGGCGAGATATTTGCGTTCAACTTAAAAGAGCACATACGCAATATTGGATGGGCGTCGTCTATTAACTAGTATCTATTATCACAGTATTGTAATACAAGGCAAAGTCGTGCTATCGTAGGGAATATTTGTAACTTAGGCTCTAGCGAATGTGCGATTTTGCATGGGTGAGGAATGTTGTTGGTAAATAAATAATACGATGAGGGCTAATAATAATAATAATTATAATGATAATAGTAATAGTTATATAATTGGGGAGTCTCACAAGAGTAGGGTTTGGATTGAAAAAGAGCTGTTTGACCTCCTCTTGAATGCTTTTCGAGGCTATCTCCTTTTCCGAGGAGCGAGAGGTATGATTTAAAACTAGCAAAAAAAAATAAAAAAAAAAAACTTCCTAATAAATGAAAAATATCGTTAATGAAATGTAAAATAATTAAATCCATAATTATGATTGTCATGCTGATAATAAATAGTTAATGTAGTTGCTGAACATATTCAGGGCGCGTTTTCAAACTTGTCATTCGGATTCGGATTCGGTATCGAATGTTATAGCCGTCTTTGAGAGTGGGTTTTCAGTACAGTGGGCAGAGTGTGGGATGGGCGTGAGTCCTTTTGGCGGAACTGGTTCCTTGTCATAGGCGCTCAAAGGGAATTCGAAACGGAACTGGAACTGCAACTGGAACTGGTTGCTGAGTGTGGTTGGCACTACGCAGCCTGTTGCTGCCTTTGTCGCGATTTTGGCCGCGTTGCCAGCTGTTGTGCAGTGCTCGTGCAGTCCCTTTTGCGCTGTTTGGCCAGCAGCTGTGTCATATGCTTCAGGTACTCCATGTACTGGAACTTGAGAAACAGCGCATCCAAATGATGCGGCTTGCTGGGCTCACCCGCTGGCTGGTTGCGAGCGGCCAGCACCGCCTGGCGATGCAGCTCCACCAGCGGCGTCTTGAACTTCTGCAGACGCTTCTCCATGGGCTCTCGCGGCACCGTCTTGATCTGGTGAAGCGACAGCTTCTTGTGCCACTGATGCTTCTGCGGGCTGGGCGCATACAGGCGGCTGCTGCCATTGATGGCCTCCTCGACGATGCAGAGGACGGTGCGTGCGCTGCTCCGATAGCGCAGCAGCTCGGCGGACAGCACGCTCTGCTTTTGCAGGTTCTCGTAGTCCCAGTGCAGCTGGGCGTGTCGCAGATAGCTGAACGCGGCCACATAGAATTGCAGATCGTGATGTGCGCGACGCAAGGCCAGCTGAAAGGAAAACAATAAGAAAGAAAAAAACAAAGAGATTTGTGGCGTTAGTTAGAGGAAAATCAGAAGCCGGTTTGAAAGCGTATGAGTGTTATTTGAGCTTGAGCGAGACAAAATGGATCTTGTTTGGTTTGCTTTGATTTGGTTTGGTTCAGTTCGGTTTGGCTGGGTTTGGCTTGCTTTTTGTGTGGCATAGATCGGTTCGATATCCGTTTTGATAAGCAACTCTGCTGTCGGCTGTAATCACATTTGTGCAAGAAACCGGTTTGTGCTGCCTATAGAACCGGTTGGCAACAGCTACCCTGCACGCCCACAGCCACGCCCATCGGCAGGTTGAGTGAACTCTCTGTAGCAGCGTCGCACTTAGCTGAGCTGATTAATAATCAAAATCAATCATACGACACGTTGCCTGAAAGTGAAAAGCAACCGATTCGCCGATACGCCAATTCGCCGCGCCGCACCCCACAGCACCGCACTTCGCCGCATTGTTCTGTCCACCCTACCTATTCCTCTCTCACTCACTCACTCTCTTTAGCTTGCTTAATTGTGCTTTCGGTTTCGCAACGCATTTCGCGGCCGCGTGCTTGTGACGTCGGCCCGTCGGCGCGTCGTCGTCGTCGTCGTCGTCGACGTCGTCGTTGTTGTTGTTGTTATTGCTCGCTTGTCGGCTGTCGGTCGTCATCGTCATCTTCTTCGCCTATCGCGGCGTTCGTTTCATTCATGCCGCTGCTGGGGGAATCCACGGCTCGCTCATTCGCATGATTCACGCGCGCGCGCGCGCTCGCTCCGTGTCTCGCGCTGTCTCTCAGTGTATGAGTGTGCGTGTGTGTGTGTGTGTCATTTACAATATGTGAGTGCTTAGATTGCTGAAACATATCAGTCCCCCACCTCCCATACCCCCTTTAAACCGTTCGCAGCGGCACATTAATTTTAAATATGTGCGAAATGCTTTGCTGTTAGCTTTTCAGTGACGTCAAAAGGCCGCGTGAACTGCAGGTTCTTAGGAAAAGTGTGCGTTTGAGCTCGAGCTGTCGTTGTCGATGTTGTGCTTTTTATATTCATATGATTTACGCAACCTATACTCATAGCACATATAGTACACATACATACTACATATGTACATTCGAGGCAATTTATAAATAACTACGATTAGCTATCCACACAGTGCCACACTTCCTGCGACGACGTCATCGTTATTACAAGAGCAACAGGCAACAGGCAACACCGCATTGTTTACTGTTGTGAGTACATCACACAATAACAACATTATAAACGGTTAGCATGTCATCAATTGACGTCGCTTGGGTCAACATCATTTGCGGAGTTATTGCCAAATGCTTTTAACAATTTCAGTTGCTAACCTTATTTTTTGTTGTTTTTGTTATTGTTAATTTTTTGGGTTTTTTTCCTATGCCCGGCTCCAGTGACGCCAATGAGAAATTCAGCGAAAGCCGCACATTGTTATGCCATTATTAAGCACACACACACACACACTCACACGAACACGAACACACACACAATTGCACGATAATGAGTTTGATGATGATGTTAGCCGTCTAAGTATAGAACATAGCACAACATCGGCATCATCTGGGAATAAGCCAACAACGGCAGCTGAGCTCTGCCGAGCCAACGACAGAGAGAAAGACAGGTGCTTAACCAAGCCGAGAGAGAGAGAGAGAGAGAGAGAGAGAGAGGGAGAGAGGGATAGATGCTATACGCAGGCGTCAAAGTCGAGCCACACACTAAAGTTCGGTCAATCAAAGTACATTTGACATTTTAGTACACGGGTGCAATCGGGCTAACACTTGTTTTAAGCTCTTCAGATATTCCAGCATAATTTGCATATGTGCCTACTCATTATTGGGTCAATATTCAATGTTAATAAAATACACAAAAAAAAAAAGAACAAAACAAGAAATTAGGTTTTTCAAGTGTTCTCAGAATGCATTTTGTGGCTACGTTAATTAACTATTGAGCTATATGCTATATAAAACTACAAATATCCAGATATTTATGTAGAATTTTGTAAATTTTTCCAAACACACAAAAAAAATTTCCAGATTCTCGAAGGCGCTCTTAAATATATTTGTTAATTAAAGAACGAAAACTCTCGCCAAAGTTTGATCTGGATTCGCATTAGCTAAGCAAAATTGGGTTATATGGAAAGCGAATTGGCCAAGTTTGCGGTATTACATTGCCTATTGCCAAGCTTAGTTAATCTTTAGAACTAGCAGATAACTCTCACTGGCCGTCTGATATTATGCTTTCGTATTTGCGTACAAGTTGGCAGTTGGCAGCTTGTTGTTTGACAAGCCAAAATCTACGTACTTCCAGTTTCTGATGTGGATAGGCATTCCAGATAAGACCCGACTGCTGCCTTTTCTTCTAGTGACACACTAACTGGGCAGGCAATTATTATATTATTCATAAAGCTAACGCTCTTATCTGCCAGTCGGAATGGCCACACTAGCATGTTGATATAGCTTTTACCTGGCAGTCGTACGATCCTAAGAATCTATACATATATATGTATATATATATATATATCTGTATATACATATGTGGATTTGTCAAAATACGTTTGTCTTTTGTTTATTGTTTTTGCTTTTTATTATATCGCGTGACTGTCGCTGCTTTTAGCTTTTGGCGCATCATTAGTTTTTACGAGTGCATATCAAGATCTGATTCGAAACGGAATTATGGGACAGCAGCAGTGCCAGATACAAGAGCTGGAGGGCAGCTCCTGACTGTCAGCTATGCAATATGCAATATTAGAAAAACATGCACAACGACATGCGAACTATTTGTTTACGATCAGGTTTCGATCAGCTGCTCGCTGTAAGCGTGTCCATTAACCATTCCATTCGATTCGATTCGATTAGATTCGATTCCATTCGGTTCCATTCCATTCCCGGCGCGTGTCTGTGTTGTTTGTTGTTTTGTTTACTTGGCTCGATTGAGCTCGATTGTTTTCCCAACAAATTAGCCGCCGTACGAAGTGGAGCTCCGATTCTTTCGGCTCTAATAAAGCGTGCACAGAGCTTCTATCCAAGGCTGACATTGAGCAAAGTCGCGTGCGCCCACAATTTGCATATGTTTTTCTCGAATACTATTTTTGGTTAAGCGCTAAAATGTACCCTAATCTATTTGATAAATTCATTATAAATATGCATATAATTTATTATTTTATTGCTCTTCTTGTTTTTCTTCAAAATTAATATCTGACAACTGCTGAACTGCCCTCGTTATAATACGCAGCTACCTATTGCCAACCCGCACGTTGGCCGAAACTCATATGACTGACTCGCGCTTTGTTGGCTTGTGACGCTTTTTTTTTTTGCACCTACGCAATGACGAACGGTGAAATGGTCCCTCACGTGACCCAGTGCCGAGCTCTTGGCTCTTGGCTCTTGACTCTAATCAAATTGATTGCCTCACGTTGGGAATTGGAATGGAAAG